GGGACACCACGTCCACGCGAAAGATCGCACACAGCCGTGCTGAGTCAGGGGGAAGCAGGAGAGGCCCACCGGAAAGGATGGGGTAGAGGTGTTGACAGAGGCCACAAGACAGGAAAGGAGATGAGCAGTGACAACGCTATGTTCTCGGCAGACGCCACAGTGGCCAATGAGAAACCTTGGAGACTCCACTGGGCAGGTGTCAGAACTGACAAGGGAACTTGCTTGTGCCCAGGCATGAGCGCTGCGGCAGCCAAGCAGAAAGCAGAGTGACCGAGGCATGAGGCAGACCAGTGGGCAACAGTGTAGACCCTCAGCAGGAAGAGGCCTGGTGCCACAACTCAAGAACCGCCTCCCCATGTATCAAAGTGAACAGCACACCACCGCAGAGCACCAGTCACCCAGCCCCAGATCTGGGAGCTTTTCCCTGGAAACAAGCACGTGCACAAGGAGGTTCTGGGTAGGGAGATGTCCACAAGGACACTGACACTGCTGGAGTCCTCACGGGAGGGACAAGGAACAGAGACAAAGCCGGAATGGGCCAGTGGTGGCCCAGGCACAGGGGTGAAGGCTCCCTGCCAGGGAAGGGGGCTATGTGACCACTGAGTCATCCTGACACTTGCGGAAAGAATCTTCCAGGCAGGGGACAGAGCAGTTAGCAAGGGCCAGAGTGTGCCCATGTGCATGTCTGAGGATTCTCTGACAGGGGTGCTGGAGAGGGGGGCTAGATGTGGCTGGAGCTTCAGGAGTGAGGGGCTGCAGTGGGGCATGAAGGGGGCCACAGCAGAGCCAGTTTACTGAATTGCAAGTTTAGACCAGTGACAGGCCCAAGAAGCTAAGGGGGTGCTGGGGACAGAGGCCAGTTCTAAGAACTCATGAGCGTTTGCTGCCTGCTCTGGTGTGTGTGTGTCGGGGGTGACTGTCCTGCAGTGGACCCAGGACAACGGAGAGAGGACATGAGGCCCTACCCTTGAGCTACAGAATGGGGTTTCACCGTGTGTGACCAAGGGGTCACATGTAGGCCTGTCCTCCGCTCCGTCCAGGCCACAGAGCTGCTGCCCCGGATGGGGTCTGGAGCACAGACACACACAGAGTTTACACATGTACCCCAGCAAGGACAGAGTACACACACGTGTGTACCCATGCACACACACACCTGGGACATGGACCTACCACACACACGCAACCTGCTGTGCACTTGAGACTGTCTAGAAGCTCAGGGTGGGGGCAGAGAGAAGGAGGGCTGTGGCCTGCCACAGGGGTGCCCCCATGGCCATGCTGCCCATGCGCTTCCTGGTCCCCCACACTCCTGACCCTTAGCAACCAGACCTAGCATGATCATGTGCCCCTTGCCCGGGGGGGACACTGAACACCAGCTTGCAGAGAAATCACTACCACCGAGCCCCCTGCATGGGCCCGAGGGAGTTCTGACCTCCCTACAGGGCCACCACCCATCAGGACTCAGACAGCCTCCACTGTGTGCCTCGAGGCCCACGGCCCCAGCCCCAGCGTCCTAAGACTGGGGAGAACTTGGTCATTTCCAGCAGAAATGCACAGCACGCCCCTGACATCACCCGAAGCTGGGAGCTGGGCAGCCAGGCCAGGACCACCAGCCCACACAGCCATTCACCTGCTGATGTGGCCACTGGGAGGCCAGGGCAGGGTTTCTCAAGCCCAACTGTGTGCAGCAGGTCGCGTCTGGGTTTAGGTGTCCGTTTCATGAATTATCACAGTTAACGTGTAGTAATTGGTGTGGGAAACAGAATTACAGACAGGAAGTCAGCGGTTACCACAGCTAAAACTTTGGGTGTTTTCCTTTTCATTTTTTACTCCTGGATACATGCCTCCTAGACAAACGTACAGAGGTGGTATGTAACCCTTTCTTTCAACAAAAAAAGGAGGGATACAAGACTATACGCCTGTGTGGTTCTATCTGCAGAACATACTCTGAAAAGGCCAGAAGCTGGCTACAGTAGTTACTGCAGGAGATCAAGGCTGGAACTGAACATTTTTTCGGGATATACCTTTTCACTGATACTGATCTTTGAGCCAGCTTAAAGTGTCTTGCTGTTTTGAAGCAAATTAGCAAAGAACCACACAGATGCCAAACCAGAAGGGTGGTTTCCACTGGGTACTCGTGGCACGTGTGCCTCTCGAGAGGTAGGCAGCGCACAGACAGAGCATGAAGGCGAAGTGCTGGGGCCCAGGCATGCAGGCACCCCTGATGGAAGGGCTGGAAGGCGCACAGTAGGTCTGCTGGCCTCATCCAGGCTCTGCCCGCAAAGTGGACCTCCCAGGAGACCCAGGGGCTGGCACAACCTGACCTGCGGCCATAGTTTCCTTTGCCATTAGGGAGGAAGGGTCAGGAGGACCGCAGTTCTGCCCTGGTCTGTCCCCCAAGGGCCTTGCCATCACCTCTGGAGACAGAGATGTCACAGGAACCAGGACAGCAAGAAACACCCACCTGTGTCCCCAGTGTTCCTGGTCAGTGAGAGCAGAGGAGAGGCAGCCCCTGTCGCCCCACCACACCGTAAGACCCCTGTGCCGCTGCCAGCTGCTCACTGTTCCCACCCTGTTGAACAGAGTCAGAAAGCTGATGGAGGACCAGGGCTCAGATGTGCAACCCCTGCTCGGCCCACGGCCTCTGCATCCCCTCAGCTCAGACGGCAAGCTCTAGCCGTCCAACTCCACGCCCAGGGCCTTGGACACACTGTGAACCTGGCCAGACCTGGGAGCCCTCTCCTCAGCCAACACCACCACTGCCCCATACATGTGTCCCCAGCATCTCACAGAAGTGGCCTGTGATCCTCTCAGCCACCCGAGGCAGGGACTCGTTCTCCCTTCGGGGCAAACACAGGTGCACAGGGAGGTGCTGGAAAGGTGGGGTCAGGGACCTGCCTGGGGCATGCACATGAGGCTGCACCCTCAGGACAAGGGTAAGGAGGACTCTTGGACACTGGCACTCTCAAACCTCCTGAGCCAAGTCTACACCTGACATTTGGGTGTTATGCCCCGGGGGTGACAGCAGCTCACATCCCCGTGCCACGGCAGCCCTGGCAAAGCTCTGACACTGGTGGGGGAGGGGAGGCTTGATGTTCATGGCACTGGGCCTCAGTGTCCCCATCTGTACAGCAGAGTCTGAGGACAACAGGACTCAGAAGCGTGCCTGGTCAGGTCCATGTTCACTGTGTGCTTCACTCAGCGTCCTGACGAGTTATCTGAACTCTGGGGAAAACCATTACACTTTAGTGAGAAAGGAGCCCAAACAAGAGAACCAATCTAGAAGTTATGACTTGTGCAGAAGCCCCGTACTTTCCAAGGCAGGCGGGTCCCTCCCTGGCTCAGCAGGGCAGAAAAAGGTGCATGGTGACGTGGCTGGGTGAACACCACGAAGACAGCAGACTCAGTCTCACTATGGCCTGACCGCGGCTGCTCAGAGTCTGCAGAAGCCCCCACACCCAAGGCTGCACTGAGTATCCCCACTGACGGAGGGGTGTGGCCGAGGCTGCTGCGGGCTCGTTTCAGCAGGGGTGCAGTGAATTCTGGCACAACCTTCCTCAACAGCAGTTTCTCCTCCCACCTGTTCCCTCCACAAACATGTATATGGGGCGTGGGGACCTCACAGAGAGCACACAAGACAGACATGGTGCCTGCTCTCTTCCAGCTTCCAAGTTCTGGTGGGGAGAGAGCCAATCTCTAGATGGCTTCAGAGAGTGGTCACGGACAGGGAGGGGGAGATGGGCGGGGTGCGGGTGGGAAAGAAGGGGTGCCGCTTCGGAAGGTTACTGGGGAGGCCTGAGTAGTGTCTGTGCCGAGACACGAAGGCTCCGAACCACCTCGGCCGAGGGGACAGCAGAAAACCTCAGAGGGGCCAGTGTGCTGGCACGGGAGGCTAGCGTGCAGCGCCTTGGAGACCACAGTCAGGGTCTTGTTTTGTGCCCACCTGGCGGGGCAGGTGCACATCTGGAAGGTGGCTGGAGTAACCACTCTCTGAAGCTGCGGCGCAGAACTTGGCCACCCCTTCCCAGTTCAGAGCTGTGGCACGCGCCACCCCCCGAAGCGTCTTAGCTGGGGACTCCTTGATCCGGGAGCCATCTAGCGCCCTCCAGGTGTACACAAAGAGGACCGGAGTGGGGGTTAGGGAGCTGTGTGGTTGGCGTAAGTGCCCCACCTCTACACATCCACCTGCCCAGACAGAAAGGAGCACACCTGTCCCTGGGCCCCGTCCCCCTGGCTGCCAGCACCTGACACTGAGGCTCTGCACAGACCTGGCCCACCTCAGGGAGAGGACCCACTGCAGGGATCTGCGATGTAGGCACTTCCCCTCTCCCCAAGGCTGAGCCTCTGACTGGGGATCCCAGGCCACCGGCTCCCAGGCTCCGGGAAGGGGGGGGCTGCTAACTGAGCGATGTCTGGGACCCTCAAACCCAGCAGATGCTGGCGGCCCCTAGTAAGCGGGCCCCTGGGGGAGGGGGCTGGCCGGCTGAGGCTGGCAGGCCTGCAGGATCTGGCCAGCACTTCTACGCAGCTCTAGGTGGGTCCCCGCCCACCCCACTCGCCAAATCTCTGACAGTCAGTACTCGTTTCCTTCTCAACTCACCTGGGTTCACGCAAGAAGGGCGGTATTTGCTCAGCAAATATTGCCCAAGACAACTCAGCCAGACACGCGGAGTTTTTTGCCACCCTATTAACTAACCAGTGGGCCAGCCGTCAGGAGAGGGGGTCTCAGAAGCCCCCCCGCGCACCGCCCAAACAGAAACCTCAAGGAGCACAAGAGGAACAGGAAGAATCTCGAAAGTCTCCACTCCACCACCGCTCACCGCCCTGGCACGTCCCGAGCCGAACAAAGTGGTATTTGCAAAAGGAAAGCAGCCGAAAAAAGGCGTGCGCGCACCCGGAAAGCACTCGGCCGGGACAGGGCAATTCAGGGGCTCTCCTCCGGGCCGCCCTAAGGGGTGGGTGTGCCGCCGCCCCAGGAGCGCCCCGCCCGCCGCCCCACCTACCTCCAAGGCCTCGAGCGTGCTGAAGCTGGCGATGGCGAAGCCGTCGATGACCTCCTCCTCCTGCGAGCTGGACTCGCGGCGGCGGCGGCGCGGGGGGCGCGCGGCGGCGGCGCGGGGCGGGGGCGCGCGGGGCAGGCCCGCGTTCTCCTTGCCAGGCCCGGGCTCGGCCTCGTCGCCCGACGACGCGCTCTGGTCGCGGGCGTCGCGGGCCGCCTCCCGACGGCGGCCGCGATCCCGCTGCGCGCGCGAGCGCCGGCTCTGGCGGACCTTGGCCTCCATGGTGCGCGGTGACCTTGCGGCCGCGCCGTCGGGCTCCCGCGCTCCCGCTGCCGCTGCGCTACGCGGCGCCGCCGGGCTCGGTGCAGGCCGCGCGGGCTCGGGCCCTGGGCGGCGGCGGAAGGCAGGCCGGGCCGGGCATGCCGCGCGGGGTCCCTCAGCCCCGTGCCCGGCGCGGCCTGGGAGCCCCGGCGCGGGCGGCCGCGCGCATCGGCGGGGC